CCAATTACTTAACTTCTCTTGATACTTGATCTTCATTGAGTTTGGAAAGCCCACTTTCACCACGTGTTGGAGGCACCGATGGGACCCCTTTTTTCTTCACCAGGACACCTTCTCCAAGTTCTTTTTTTCACTCCAAAATCTAATGAGGATTCTTCCCACTCAATGTTGTGTTTGAGCTCTACCCATTTTAGGCTAGTTAATCAGACCCACCCAATCTCTTGGATCTTGGGACCAGCTTAAGGAACACCTTCAAGGGGTTTTGAGGAATTCAGCAGACATCAAAGTGGTGGGAGCATTTCCATCCAACCCAGTGTTTCTCAACCTTGGCAGCTCTAAGATGGATGGACTTCAACTCCCAGAATTCCCCAGCCAGCATGGCTGGCTGGGGAATTCTGGGAGTTGAAGTCCATCCATCTTAGAGCAGCCAAGGTTGAGAAACACTGAACCATTTCTCATGGAGGAGCCATTCTCAAGCACAAGATATGTTTAAAAAGCAAAGAAGAAAAACCACTAAATCTCCATGGATGTGGCCCGAGAACTTCCAAAAGTTGTCTCCGGATTAGAAATGTTTATAGGGCAGAAATAGATGTTATTAAAATATGGTAGAATCATCACATGCCCTGTAATGTATCATCTCCTTCCATTCAAAGGGGATCCCTGGTGATTTCATGGACACGGCCATGGGGTTTTCTGGGCAACAGTACAGAAGGACTTTGTTACGCTCTTGGGGAGGATGTTCCAGCCCAGCCTCTAGATTTGGGATATCCTGGTGGTCTCCCATCCAATCATCATCCAAGCCTGACCTTACTTGACTGTTCAAAGCCACCTAAGGCTGACCAAGGGTTGCAAACTCAGCGAGTTGTTTTCTTGGCAATTCACCTGGAAAGTAAATCAAATCCAAGTTATTTTTTCTCCTGGCCCTGCGGTCTCCTTTCTGAACCAACAACTGTTTGGTTATCTCTCAGCTCAGAAAAAAAATGAGAGGCAAGGGCTCAGTTTTTGCAGATTTCCTCCAAAAATGAACAAAAAGAGGGCTGCTAGATCCATAGCAGCGTCAGGAGATTTCTTGCCATTTTCTGCTTGTCTTTAAATCCTCCAGAACAATGCCGGAGCAACAGTCCCCTGTGCAGAGCCAAGAACCAGTTTTGCTCCGGAAATTGGGCCAAGGGAGAACCCTGGATGGTGAAATTTGCTGAAATGAGGAACAGGCGGTCTATCGGAAATCACTGCGGCCTCGTCCAACACCTTGAACTGTCGTTGGTTCGTTCTTCCGGCTGGAGGTGGGAGTTCGAGCTTCAAAAAGAAAAAATCAACGAAATAAATGAATAAGAATGGAAGAAGATTGTAGTCATGCTTCCCTGGTATTTTGGAGCCAAAGATATCCACAAATAGTCCCAGCTCTAAGATGAGCCACAATTTAAAAGCACAGCTGCACCCACTTTGGCCTATGGTCCCGCCCACTCAGCCTTAGTATCTCCCACTATGGAGTTATTTCACCCACTACTCCCCACAAGTTAAATTGTGCCTCCAATTTAGTCACCTCCAAGTAGTCTTCCCTGGGTATGTGACCCCCTCATGTAAATTAGCCTCCTCTTGCGCCCATTTTTCAGATGGTATAATTGTTCTTTTTTTTTTTTTTTTTCCAGACCGTACAATTGTTCTTCCTTTAGGGGAGACTTTGTTCAGAAAGAAAGCTCCATCCAAAAAAAAAAAAAGGGCCGGGACAGGACACATCCGTGGCATTTAGTCCACAAGCATCCACGTCACGGATTTAATTTGCCGGGCTAGCGAAGTGAAAATAAAGCAAATTAAGATGCTCAATATTCACTTCTCATTATTTAAGCAATCTCCCACTGAGGTCACGTTCACGGTGGTCTGGTGGCAATGCTGGAGCTGCGTTGGCTCTTGCAACTCAGCTGCAAAAGTTTAGAGGCGCATTAGAGGGCGAGAGAGTTCGTTTTCTGGCTCTCTCTGCCACCATCTAGAGGTGGTTCCGTGTCCTGCAGCCCAGTTCGGTCTCCCACTTCTAAAGAAGGAAAGAGGCTTGTTCTCCACCAGGATGCGTCCTGCTCCCCGATCCCGGCTGGCCCTGCTCAAAACGTCCTTCAGAGCCAGAAGGGTTGGAGAGTCGGAAACTTTCTTGTGAAAATAATACCAAAAAAGATGAGTTCCCGGCACACGAGATCCCGTATTGCAAGCAGATTCCTGGATGGGAATGGGAGAGGGGCCTTGCCAAGGGCGGACAAAGAAATCCATCACAAAAATCAAATCTCGTCTCCGTTGTTTCTCCAGCTGCAAGTTGAGCATTTTTTCCTCCCCGGGAAAACGCTGCAGCCCTGTGTCCCATAGTGAGCCTGCCCCATTAATCTAGGCCAGTGTTTCTCAACCTCAGCCACTTTAAGCTGTGTGGACTTCAACTCCCAGAATTCCCCAGCCAGGCCGACAGGGCGTGGGGGGGGTCGGGTTTGGTGAAGAAAAAGATGAAAGAAGCAGGGTTTGGGGTGAGAGGGACG